TAATATATTTTTTGTATTCTCAGTTGTATTAATATTTTTTATGTGATAGAGTTGTGTTACAAATATTTGACTCTAAAGTCTAAATTGAAGAGGGACAAAAAATGCATCTATAGAAAAAATGAATACCAAATTTAACCAAGCAACTGCATATTTTTTCTCTGCAAAGAAAATTAAAATATTGTTGATATGTTTTTAATTTATGAGCGTAAAAATATCTTAAAAAACAACGTACTACGTTTTACTATAATAATTACATATATTTATACAGTAATTTAATACATTATGAATTATAGATTGATTCTAAATACAAATATTGAAATGTGTAATTTTAATTTTAATATGGTTATTTTTTTTATGGCAACAGCCATAAAATAAATAAATTGTTACCTATTCCACGAGAGTGAAATTTAATCGAATTATATTAGGTGAGTAACTGATAATGGAAACAACATGTAGAATACCTGTGAAATTTAAAATACGATTGTATAAAAAAAAAAAAATGTTAATGTCGATTATATTGAAAATATATCATTATTTATGTACACTCATAATTTATCAAACTTATTTTTAGATTACTGTTTCGTAATCATACTCATTTATCAATTATTTTTTGGGTGTATTATATTCTGTATTCGCTATTTATATATTTAAACTAAAAATAATAAGAACCATTTCGGATGTCACAYTAAATAATTGTACGTCTAGAATTATTCGTTATAAATAAGAATAAAATAATTTCAGAACTACATGGAAAGACACTGCAGCAGAAGTAATTAGGGATACTGGTAATCCCAGATCTCGCTATAATAAAAGATATTTAAATTCCAAAAAAAAATAATAATATATTTCAGTTGTATTCTGTACTTTATTTAAATTTATAAATACTCCTTTTAAATATTTCTATAAACGATGATACAATTCTAAGACTAACTAAAGAAAAAACCTTTTTAAAAATCAACACATTTTAAAGGCTAAAAGACTGTTAGTTAATATCGTTTAATAATACTATAAGAATATTTGTCCAGACTTCTAATTCCTAAATTCTACACGGATTTACACAAAATACAACACTATGTTAAGAAGTATCATTAAAGCAACATTTATGAGAATTCTGACGAACAATTCAACGCAT